ATATTAAGACTTTTAAGCAATGAAATATTTTTATCACTCACACTGGTAATGGTTTGTCATATCGTTCTTTAATAGTTTGGCCCTTCAGTCATGATTGCACCTTGTGACCCTTCCAATGCAAATCAAATCAACCCTGAACGTCTGTTTAGTATTTATGTGCTGCTGATTGGATCTGAAGTGTTACATCACCACTTTCAAGATGAAGAATGCACTCTGCTTACTGCTGCTCTCATTCAGCCTACAACGTGAGTTTTGACACGTCTATTATCAGATCTAGGGTAAACAGATTCCAAATGAAATCAGTCTTTTCAATCTTCCTTTTAGGCACAAAAAGTCAAAGTATGGACTCGGAGTCCTTTGAAAGTTGTGAAAAAGCCTGGAGAAACTCTGACTCTGTCCTGTAGAGGATCTGGGTTCAGCTTTGGCTGCTGTAGCATGCACTGGATCAGACAACAAGCTGGAAAACCACTTGTGTGGTTGGGACGTGTTCATAGTGGCGGCAGTGGCAATGACTACTCTGAATCCTTCAAAGGTCGAACTGAAATCACCAGAGATAATTCAAAGAGTATGGTGTATCTGAAACTATCAGGCCTGACAGCAGAAGACTCAGCCGTGTATTACTGTGCAAGAGACTCACAGTGACACAAAGGTCTTGTACAGCTGAACAAAAACCACACTGGCTGTTTTATCTCTTGTTACTAGAAGTCAACAGGTGGCAGCAGAGAATAAAAAATCTGTAAAATATAGCCTGATGAGAATATGTTGTTAAATATGCAGTGAAGTTCACTATAAAAGCTAAAATGTTAAACAGCACAAAGGCATATCTGACTCCTTTAACACAACGTGTGTCTTTTGATGTGTTGATTTGTGGTAGAGGTTACATGTGTTACAGTGACAAACTAAAGACTTTAAGTTACCAGAGACTCTTACAGCAGCAAAATAACCCGTAAGACAGAATAATGACAGAATAATGAAAGAATATGACGATAAAGGAAACAACAGTGTCTTATTATAGAAAATTATGTAAAATCGATTCATGTCCAGTAGGGAAAAAGTCCCTAATGAGAGCAATAAATGATATGAACATAAGCCTAACATGAATATTTTTGTAGCATGTAGTTTTGATTAGTAGCTCTGAATTGATTTTCAGTGGTTTTAAACACTTTCCAGGTTGCACTATTCAAAACTGTATGTAAAGACATAATTTTCTGCATATTTTATAATATTGATATTTTAATTTCATATTAAAATAAAAAGAAATTATATTAAAATCCATTAAACAAAATAAAATTAAAAGTAATGCAACAAAGATGGCATTTATATCTAATAATAGCAAAATAATGGTCTGTTTATATAGATCAAACATTAAACACAAAAATCTTAATCTGGTCCAAATATGTGTCAGCATTTGATATCATCAGCGCTCTGATTTGAATATGCAAATCAGCTTACTTCTTTAAATGTGACGGTGCGTCTTTGTGATCTGAACAGGCATCTGAACTCTGGAAACAAAGGCTATCTTTCTGGTTTAAACTTAACAAACACCATGTTAAAAAAGTTTTTTATATTTGTAATTCTGACAGTTTTACCATGTAAGTCACTACATAAACAACAATGGTGCAAAAATGTAACATTATACTTCATTACATGTAATATTGTTTTGTTTTTCTCTCCACAGGTATTGAATGTCAGACATTCACTCAGTCTGAAGCAGTGGTTAAAAATCCAGGAGAATCTCACAAACTTACATGTACAATAACTGGATTTACTTTCAGCGGTCTCTATTTAGACTGGATCAGACAGAGCCCTGGAAAAGGACTGGAGTGGATTGCATTCATCAGCACAGCTAGTTCTCCAATCTACTATTCCCAGTCAGTGCAGGGCAGGTTCACAGTGTCCAGAGATGATTCCAGCAGTCAACTGTATCTACAGATGAACAGCCTCAAGACTGAAGACACTGCTGTGTATTACTGCGCTAGAGAGTCACTGTGAATGAGTTCAGTGTCAAAGCAATACAAAAACTACTTCCTCATTCACATATGGTGATGAATATTGACTGATCAACCGCATTCCATCACATAGAAATATTAGATTATAATGCACATTCTAACGTTGCTAGGTTGTAATTAAAACTGTACAATATAAAAAAAAAAAAGTTCCAATACAAGGCTAATTCTCTGTGTTTGCATAACTACGTTTGATTTATGCATGCAAACTGTGAAATGCTGTGATCGTATGGGATGGTATTAGACTCAAAATGATTAATAGATGCACGCACAATTATCCATGCACTGCATAAATTTTATACATGTGTCGTACTAACGACAAACAAATGCCTAATATGCATTATATAAAAACAATGAGGCAATAATGATTGGTTAATTAATAATTATATGGTTTCCTCGAATAACACTGTTAAAATACATAATGTAGGATAATACAAAATAAACAATTTATGTACATTACATGTTATTACAAATGCCTGCAAAGGTAGCCAAAGGCCTGGTAATTGCTGCTGCTTCACTTGGGACAATCAAATCCTTGTTTAATAGGCTATTGACCAAATATTTAATTCAAATATTCACTTAATCTTTAATTTTTGGCCACCTTTTTGCTATAGATGACACAGCTTTTATAATTTATTCAACAAAAAACATGTGGACATCACAGCCCTTACAAAAATAAACCATGGTTTTATCGTAGTGAAACTGCTTAATTTTCTTTTGTGTGATTTCTGAAAGCTTGAGACTATAAAATCAATCAGACAACTAATAAAGTCACTGTAACTGTCTGAGCTACAATTGTAATTTGTAAATAATACAGTTTATTTATTTATTTACTTTTATATTTGATTAAACTTCTATTTTGACCCCTATAGTAGTTTTTTTTATTTATTTTTTACTTACATAATATTTAATGGAGGGGGCACAACAATAAAATCCTGCCTAGGGCACCCATTTGGCCAGCAGCGGCCCTGCTAACAGCAGCTACTGTACTCACTGGATACAGCAGCCTGCAGGAAAAGCTCTGGAATGGGTTGGAGAGATATGTGGTGATGATAACACATATTACAGTGATAAACTGAAAAGTAGATTTCAAGTTACCAGAGAGTCTTCCAGCAACACAGTGACTCTGCGAGGACAGAATATGCAGACTGAGGATACAGCTGTGTATTACTGCGCCAGAGAGAGAGCACACAGTGATACAAAACACAAGCAGTTCTGGCCAAAAACATCTGGAATGAAACGAGCAATAAAAAGTCCCCCATACATACTGTAGGAATAGTCTACAAAAATGACTCTTACTTACATCAGTGTTTCACAGCCCAGCAAACGTCTGAGAAATGACCCGCAGACTTTACTTTGTTGATGTAACCTTATAGTACAATCAGTTTGGTTTAATCAGATTAAATTATGTTTTTGACTTGAATGCAACCAATTTATTAGAAGTTAACACATGAAGGACATGTTTAGATTACCCGTAACTGTTATAAAGTCAAGGTTAAAGTCATCTTTGATAAGAATACTGCTGATATTACAATAAAGGGCACTCTCTGCATGCCTTTGTGTGATGAAAAGTAGATTTCTGCAGATCAGGGATGTTGAAAGATTAATGCCTATTAAAACATGTCACTAACATAGTTGAATTTTATTATTTCTGATGTAGGTCCAAAAGAACCATACTTTCAGAATCAGTGTTATTACAGTCAACTAAAACAATAAAAAAAAAAAGCATTATTACTTGAAATAAAATACATTTTAACCAAAGTAAAATAAAATAGAAAAAAGTAAACATTATTTTTTTCAGTTAGTCCACA